AAAAAACCCAATGAATTACCTATTTTAAGGTTGCGTGCTGTTCAACCTCATATAGACAGAATTCCAAATGTTTTGATAAAGTCATATGCTTCCATAACAAGAATTCCACCTAATTTATGGTCTTTTTTTACAAGTATATTCTATGGAGGTGCAAGACTTCCTAGATTATTGAAAATTTATAAAGGAAAGAAAAGTTTATTGTTCGATGAGAACTCAAGTTTTAATAAAGTATTAAGTTGGACGGATGAAATTAATATTTCTGATATTGCAATTCCACGTAAAGCTTATGGTGTCACTCTTAACGATGTTATGGTAAGTGAATTAATTATAATTATTTTATTAACATTCAAAGCTGATAATAATGTTATATTTTTTGTTCAGATGGTTTTATAATATTCTTCTCTATATATAGTTAACGATAATTTCGCGTGCAATATGTAAATATTTTATTGAGGTAGATCGTCTTTTGGATAAAAAATTAATGCTTTTTACACCCATTTCTTTTCGAAGAACCAAAGATTGGAAATGTAACAATGAGTATGCAAGTATATATTAAAATAAATAATTTCCTTTTGATGTAGAAAAAATTTTTTTGATTATTTATATTTAATTATAGAACTAATTATTTAATAACAATTTAATTAAGGTACATTTTGTTACATTTCAACAAAAGAAATGACCATGAAAGAAACACTTAAATATGTTCACAAGAAAATGAACAGATTAAAACGAAGCAATTTTGCTTCATTGCAATACCTTATGATAAAATATTGTCCATATCGAAATTTATTTCGACCTATTATGCCAACTATTGGACATGGTGTTAGCACAAATGTTCCTGTAAGTAATAATAATTCTTGTCTTGTCATCCTCATTATTATTATTGAATTTAATTAGATTATCCTAATAATAATTTTGTTCATATTTTGTAAAAAGGGACCATTTCATACGTTAACAATAGCTAATCAGAAAATAACCAAATTTATTGCGATTCCACCACAAAATGGTCCAGGAGGTAAATAATACAGTTAAAAGATTTAGATTTCTTTATTAATCATTAATTTTTATGATTTATATTTTTTTTAGGATTCGGGATAGGGATTTTAAGTTATGCTGGTAAAATTACAGTTTCAGTATATAACAACATAATGCCAGATTATCCTAATATTGCATCTAGGGTAGCTAAATTAATCAATAGTGGATTTAATGAATTATTGTCAGAAGCACGAAAAGATTTGGGAATCGACTTAAATGAAGAATGAGAACCAATAGATAAATTATTTATAATATTGTTAGAGTCATCATATTTATAAAACAATTCATCACCATTATATTAGAACCATATTGTTAAACATTGTATTTGTATTTAATTTTCATAATTTTCATAATTTTCTTAATTTGCATAAATAAATTTCATAAATTTCAAATAAAAAAAATCTTGTTAACAACAATTTCATACTATTAAGACTAATACTGTTTTTTTTTATGCTTGACAGTTTATTAAGTAATGAGTGATTGGCTCAAAAGTTTATACTTTGAATTTTTGCAGCAAAAAATAAGGGTTTAAATGAAGTTTTATTTTAAGAACAAAAACAGCTACAATAAAAAGTATACTTCACTTCAATTAATGATACTTATTATGCAAAGAATATCTAAACTATGTGTAACAGTAATGACTAAATAGGCTAGCTATTTTTATTTATTTTTTTTTTTTTTTTTGCAAATTCATTCAGAGAAGTTTGACATTTAACAAGTAATTTGTATTAATATCAACTTCAGGTTGAATACTAATAATAATTCAAATAAATTATTAATTTTTTTATTTAGAGCCTAGAAAATCATTTCACAAACTTACATTTCAAGGATTTGATCAAGGATTTGATTTGGTAAAAGGAAAAAGGCTCACAACACAACAATATCTGGTGATGACTAAAAGGTCACACAATCATTTGACAAGAAAATAGAAAATAGTAATTATCATCAGCTGTTACTTAAGGTGCTCCTTTTATTTCTTTTATTTCCCCAAAATTATGGAAAATTTTGAAAATTTTGAAAGAATTCCATTGATCAATCGAGAAAGTCCTGCTAGTAGAATCATCGAAAAATACAAAAAATGTTGCTGCATTTGCATTTTTATAATTCCTATAATAATTATAATAACAATTTTTGGAATGATAGAAACACCTGAAGAATATCCAAACGATATTACGATAATTCCATATGAATATCAATTAAGACTTGATGGATTGTTCTTTAAACCTAACTATGTTATTGAAAGTTTACCAACCGAACTAAAGAGTAATATCAAGAATGAAAAGGATAACGATTATAAACAAAATTCATTTCCAAATGAATATACAAGACTTGCAGATATTATTCCTGATCGTTGGTCTTTTGAGATACTTACGAAGTTTACTGTACAAGAATATCGATATTATCCAAATTATACTTTTTATAAAGTTTCTACGGTCAACGTAAAAATGCATTCTTTCTTTAGTTCAGCTATTGATATAACTTTCAACGCAGCGGATAATATTGATCCAGAATTAATAGAAGCATGTGAATATAGAATTACATGGACTTGGTTTATGAATGGTTATATTTGGAGAAAATGTAAAAATTCCAATGAACAAGAATTTATCAAAGTTTCATATTTCAAAGGGTCTACAGGTTGGGGATTAGAATTTTATGATTCGGATGGAAATATAAAATATGGATATACTTCCAAAACAGATTTTTGGTGGAATCAATATAAAAGGTAAAGATTTTAAACTTTTATTTTTTATTTTTTTATTTTTTTATTTTTTTATTTTTTTTTGTTTGTTTTGTTTTTTTTTTTTTTATTATCATTTAAATTTTTATTTTTTTTCTTTAAATTTTCATTAGGGATGTTGTAGTTTATCCATCGGCACCATTTCCTCCAATTATGCCTGCTTTATATTCAGCATGTTATGATTATGTTAGAGAAAACAATAGGGATAGAAATCATAGAAATAGGAGAATAGAGAATAAATAATTGATTCAGATTTCTTTGGTTTGATTATAATTACTGTATTATCTGTATATGTCATTTTTTTTTCATTTTCTTCTATTATTTTTAGCTAAAAAGTTAGTATTTGCGACTTTATTTGTCTCACCTCATTTATCAGATGAACCGAGGCTTATGCATATAAAGTGGAGTTTGATCATCAAGATCTAATGCTTTTTAGGATAGTACTACTGCATGAATTACATAAATTACGTTGACTATAAATTCATCTAAACGATAAAAAAAGAAACGGTGAAGATATATGCATATCTAAGAATTCGTTCATTTTATTATCCTATTTTGAATTTACAATCAATAAAAACGTATGTTGGTTCTCATATTCCATTTTTATCCATTTTTATATATTAAAATCATTAAAATTACTTTTTTTTTTATCTTTTAACGTGTTCCAAGATAAAAATAAAAAGTCATTAAGATGACATATTTAATATTTTGTAAATTTCATATCAATAACTTCATTTAAATTACACAATTAAAATAATTAAAATGTTATAGTATTAATAATCTTTATTCTATTGTATCCCTGCAGAACTAAAAATAAATAAAGTAAAAAAAAAAAGGGATTTTTTTCAAACTAAATCGGAGAAGATTAATTTTTGTGACATTTTAATAATTTTTTAGTTTACACAAATAAATACATTCATTATATGCCTGAGATACCCGAATTTATAATCTAATCACCGATCTTTATTTGAAATCTGTCTTCTTTTATGTCCGAGTTGAAAAAAATACTTTACTTTCAACATCTTTCACTCTCTTTCTTTTAAAACATTTTATCAACCAATATTCCGTAAATTATGTTTTATTTTTAAAAAAAAAAAAAAAATTTTTATTCTTAACTTAAAAGAATCGAAAATTTTGTCTTAAAAAGGTTGAAAAATTTAACCAAAAAAATCAATAAAACCTTTATAATCGTATAAAACGAAATGTATGAAAAATCAAAAATTCCCGATAAGTTAAAGAAAAATACGCGTGTAAAAGCAACTTTGGCGTGTACATTTTGTCAATATCGTAAAATCAAATGTAGTGGTGTTAAACCATGTACTAATTGTATTAAGCATCAACAAGACTGTCACTATGTAAATTTACCAATTCGACGTGGACCAAGAAAAGTGGATGTTGAAATAATTTTCTGTAAAGAAAAGAGAGTTGCAGATGCACACAGAGCGGAATCTTATCAAAAAAGTTTACATTTAATGACGGATGAACAAATGAACAATTCTTCTCAAGAAAACGTAGTAACAACAAACTTGAACACTTCACAACCTGAAATTGCAAGCCTTATTAACTATAATAATGACATTCATCCCATTTATAATCATAAATATGATCAAGAATTTATTTCATTAAACAATATTACTCAAATTCCTCAATATCCAATAACTGAAATTCCTTTAAACGTTAATACTGAATTTCAAATTGCAGGCGTTATGACTAATCCTTTATTGCCTCCGCGTCCAATTATTTCAATGACAGGACAGTATATCAATTTACCTCCCATCAGCGAGGCTACATCAACAAACAAAACCATATCCCAAAATAATTTTCATCAAATGCAAACCCCTCAATTTTCATTTAACCCGAATCTATATAATGTATACAATACAAATTCTCTTGAATCCGATTTTCGTTATGCTAATTTTCCCGCTGAACTCGAATCTTATTATAGTAACACTGAAATAGGAATTAATTTATTTCGACAATATTAAAATTGTTTTCCTAAGAAAACATTTTACTTTATTTATTTAATTAATTAATTAATTTATATTACTTTATTTTACTTCATTATATTGATATGAATATATATTTATCAAAGATATGTTATGTTATATGTCGAATTTCAATAAAAAGATTTTATTAATGGATCACAAGATATCAGATTTATATACATGTCACACTGACAGAGAGTTATGTATCTTCACGTAGATCATATGTGGTAAAATTAATGATTACGCAATTTCCATATTTAGGTCACTCAAAGACTGCCAAATATGAATTATTTCATTAAAGATAATATTACAAATAAACAAACATCCAACTAAATAAGGATCCAGAGCTAACCTAAACTACTATTTTTTAATAGAAAATTGGTTAGAGCTTATTAATCAAACGAAAAGTAAATCAAGAAGGGGGAAATGAGTGCATTTTTAATTCCCAAAACAAAATTCCGTAAATTTTCCTTTTTTTTTTGATGCATCCCTATAAACATATGCATAATTTTTTTATCATAAGACTAGTTAAATTTAAGTTAGAATATTACAGAAAAGTGCCAAATGGGAATCGCATTCGAAAAATTAATGATCTTTGAAAAAAACCCCTAAAGCGACAATGATTATTGTCATCATGAATCTTATTTTCTTATCATCTATTAATAAAAAAAGGAATTAACTCGCTTTGTTTATATCAAGATGCCTTTGTACGCCATCATAAAAAAGAAAAAGAAGAAAGTTCGAATCTCAAATGGTCTTCTTAAAATAATATTTATCGGTTTATTTTTAATTTATTCACATTCACTATTTCTGGATAATAAGTGATTTTGTATTTTTTATTCATTAATAACATATTAAGTATGAATACGCGTACATTTCCTTCTATTTAATCGCGTCCTATTTTAGTAAATTAATTGACCAAGAAAAAATTTATTCGTCACCATTCCATTTTATTATATATGCAAATATTTAGAAAATAAATTAATTCAGCTGATTAATATCTAAGATATAAATTGGTTAAGAATCTGCGATAAATGCATTATATGCATTTGCATTACATTATTAAACAAAGAAAAAATAATTAAATTATCGATATCATTTTCATCGCATTTAATATTACCTCATCGTATTTAACATTGCTTCATCGCGTTGTATGCAATAAGAAATATTTTGTACTACTATTTAATTATTATTTAATGTTTTGAAAAATAAAGTTTAAATATTTAATGAATATCAAAACATTTACTTTAAAGAAAATTTTCGAAAAGGCTTTAACTTTTTACTGTTAAAGACATTTTTTGTGAATTATATTTCCTATAGAAAAAATTTAATCTTATATTTGACATGCACTTATTGGTTTTTTTATGTGTAAAACGTCGGAATAACCAATTACGTAATATTGGATCATCTTAAAACTAACCATATATATAAAATTAAATTGGTAGAATAATATCATGATTATGAATATGATAATCATCATTTTTACTGCTATCACCTAATTCATACATGGATAAATCAAACGCTTAAAAAGATAAATGATAAATGATAAAAAAAAAGATGGAATCGTATTAAAAAAATATTTTTTGCAACCATTAAAATTACAAGTTCTAAAATTTCATTGTTTCTTTGAAATCACTGAATCTTGAAAATGATTCTTTAATTAATTTATAATGTATAGTTGTCTTGAGCATTAAATCATATAAATGATGATAAAACACAAGTTATATCGTATAAACATATAAGAAGGATGCACAGTTATTTAGAAAGTCCAAAAGTTATTTATTGCCTCGGGAATGTCTACTAAAATTAAAAGGTATTTAACTCCAATTAATAAATAGAGACAAAAGAATGTAATAGAATTATATTGAGACAGAATAGGATTATATTAACAAATTACTACACTTTGCAAAAATCATATATTTCAGTTTATATTGCGATACAAAAATAACTTATTAATATGTTATTTTGAAATAATTGTCTGATTTTGCAGCCGTGAGAATTTCTTCTCTTTATACTGTATATATATATATATATATTAATCTCAAAAGACATAATGCTAAAGATCATAGATTATTGTAGTATTCAGACATTATTATAGTTCTATTCACTACTACAGGATATTTACACGTTAGAATTTCTATAATAAACATACAAAGAAATAAGAATATAATAAATAAATGGGTGGATAATATGGAAATTACATAATATATATTCTGTACTATTTGAATATATACATGTACACATAAATCAAGTAAATTTTAGATCCAATTTTTACTCAACTTCAATTGAAAAATTGTCATTTGGCGTACGACTTTAAAGCAATAAGAATTACAATTCAATTAAATTAACATCAATAATTTATTTATTTAAATACATATTAAAACATTTTAACAATCATAAGGTCAACATTTAACTGTAAAAATAACTAATCAAAGAAAGAAATTATTCTATTTTATCCTGGTATTTATTGTTTTTTTCTAACATGTGGTACCAAGAATCTCGGGTGAACGTTTTCTAAAGGCATATATAAAATTATTAAATAAATAAATAATAAAAGTCGTCGAAGAATTTTATTTAGAAAATACTATAAAATGTTTTTATAATTATAACTCTTGTCTTTATGAAAAAAAGTCCCATTTCGATAACTTCAAGCGGTGGAAGTGGAGTAAAAGAAACAGTAAAAAAACGAGTGATGATACAGCGAAATAAGAAATTACCACTAGGAAATGGAAACCATTATGAGTCCGGAGCCAATGGGATGTATCAATTGTCACATGATCGTTATCTCACTTAGTGACAAGGATCGTCATCACATGATCGTTATCTTGGTGACAAGGATCGTTATCATTCAAATCTTCATTATGCGTATAAAGTACTAGAAAATGGAAACCATTACGAGTCCGGGATGTATCAATTATCACATGATCGTTATCTTCAAACTTAGTGACCAGAATCGTTATCTTTTTACTTAGTGATCAGAATCGTTATCAGTACTATGCATAGAAGTATAATGTCCTCCGGACAATAAAGTCCTACGCTCCGCTCCGGACGATAAGAGTGTCAATTTTATGAATTTCATTTTGTTCTTTTTTTTATATATTTACATTCTATTTACAAGTTTATATATATATATATATTTTTCCGAAAATAAAGGAAAGAGAGGTTGAGATTTTTGATGTTTTTGAGATAAGAACTTTTATTATCAATAAAACGATTTATTTAATGATTCGTTATACAAAATTGAATCAGAAGTTATGACATAAAACTGTGATGCAAAATTTTGAATATTCAACGTATTCAAGTTTCTTAATGACTAAGGATGCATACAGACGGTAATTATCACATTATTAACTTTAATCAAAAAATAATAATTAATTTTATTTTCAAATTAAATATTTAAATATGAAAATTTTAGTAATAGATAGATAAAAATGATAATAAATATGTATAAGTTCAAAATTTCTTATCCATTCACTTCAAAATTAGTTGAAACCTAAATTAATTAATTTAATGAAATAAATTAATGAAATAAATTAATGAAATAAATTAATGTAAAATAAATTAATAAAATAATTTCAATTAAGAAAGAATCTCCAAATGTATATAATATATATAATATATATACCTTTCTTAATAAATGTTCACCATATATTACAGGTTCATGATGTTTAACAGGATCAATATCTAAACATGGTTGAAGTGGTTCAATTTTTGCTTCGAAATTCGGTTCATAGAAGAATGGGACACTATGATGATGAAAAATTTAAAGAATAAATAACAATTACAATTCTCTCCTATTCTCCGATACTAGTACACAAGTCAACATCATTTTTCATTTTTAAAAAAAATAAAAATACTGATAAATTTCTATAAAGCGAATAAATGCTTACGAAACTCGATAGTTATCTCCTTTATGAACAACTCTATGTAAAGTACTTTGATATACATTATTTGTCCAAACCTGATGATTAATGAAGTTGTAAAGATATTAAAGAGAAATATCAAAATGTTTACAACAAATATAAATTGATCAAAAAAAAAAATAATTAAAATTAATTAAAATTAATTAAGCTTACATTCAACATATCACCAATATTTACAACAAAGGTACCAGGTATATGGTCAGCATTAATCCATTCACCTTCTTTAGTTTGTACTTGAAGTGCTCCTTTGGTTGAATCCTATGCATATTTTGAATTTTGAATTTTGAATAAAAAAAATAAATTAAATATTATATTAAAATAATTGTTCGAAAATTTTAATAAGAAAAAAAAAATATGGAAAATAACCTGATTAAGAAATGTTAAACATCTTTTTCAAAAAATGTTTATGTATTCAAAATTTAAAATTTTATTATTCCCAGAGACCAAAATCTTTTATTTAAAAGAAGAATCTTACCCATAATCTATTTGTTTATTTATTTATTTATTAGTTTGATTAATATTTCAAATTATCATATAAAAATTTTATCTCGTATACTAACTAGGTTACCTGTATGTTCACCGCAACTAATTCCAACACGATTTGCACTTTCCGCACTTTTCAATGGTGGATATCCAATAACTCTCATAACCCTTTACCAATCCAATGATTCGCAATTTTAAAGATTAACAAATTAAAAATAAAATAAAATAAAATAAACGAATGAAAAATTTATAAAATTTTCATACCAAAATGAATCATCCAAAAATTGTTCAAAATAATTTTCCTCCAATCCAAGTCCTAATGCGATCGCACTCATAACTTTTAAACCTAATTCTTTCATGTATTCAGTATATCTTTCGAAAACTTGTTGAAATTCTGTTGGATAAATTGGCCATTGATTTTGACCTCTTAATGGAAGATTGTTTTTAGCAAGGTAATGATCACTAGAAATTGGTTTGTAAAAATCGAGGGCCTAAAAAAATATAAAATAATAGTTACGATACTACGGATACTGCGCCATTATATGTCGAAAATGTTGAAATTTACCTCATGCCAATCTTTTTGATATCTTGTAACGTTCTCTCCAAGCTTTTGATACCCTCTTTATAGAATTTTGTAAGAAAAAAAAAAGGAATTGTGAATTGATTCGATATATCAATTAATAAAATTAATAAAATAAAATAAATAAAATAAATAAAATTAATAAATAAATAAAAATTAATAAAATTAATAAAATTAAAAATAATAAAAATAATTTTACCTAGCCATATCTTCATTAGCAATACTCAATTTCATTTTTTCTTTATCATCTAACTGAAAAAATTCATTTCCCAAATTTAAAACTTGATCAGAAATTTCTTGAGGTACATTATGTCCAGTCAAATAAAAAAATCCAACATCACGACAAGCTTCATGAATTTTTTTGGCGGTTTGAATTTTCTTATTATTCTTAATGATATCGTCATCATCATCAGGTGCAGTAAACGCGGAAATATCAATTATTGGAAGATAAAATTGTGTTGATGACGGCATTTTTCGAATCCAATAATAATACAATTTTTTTTTTTATTGAAGTTTAAGTGAAATAATCAAGTGGAAATTTATTTTTTAATAAAAATAAAAAAAAATTGAAATTCCTTTTTTATTAAAAAGGTAGTATTTTCGTTTCGTACAAAAATCAAAATTTGTTGAATAATAATAATAAAGATATGATAATTGATAATACAAATTTCATATGTTATTTTACCCACGCGACCTTGTGAATTCTTGTTATCTTATCGAATGATAATAATAATATTTAATAATAATAATAATAATAATAATAATAATAATAATATTTCGTAATAATTAGGATTTTTAGCTTATGTCATTATCAATTTTACATATTAGGTTTAAATATCTTAAAAAACAAATTTTCTTCTAAGTTAAAGTGATCACAATATAATGAAATGCAAAACACAATAGAAAATGCTTAAACTAAAGATGAAACCTTTCAAAATGGACATGTCAAAAAAGTTTAATTAAATGCACGATTATCAATTACTAGAATGGATACATTTTTTTAATTCTGATATGGGATATATTTTAAGAATAAACTTTAAATATTAGTGGTTCTCATTCATTATATTATTATTTATTATTATTATGAATTCATTTAGTTTTGATATTATAAAAATCTCTTAACAACTAAGTGTCTATAGTTCAATCACTTATGTGAATATGTTTTTAATTGAGATTTTTGATTATAATATTATTAATATTAGCACATTAATTATTACATAGCAGTATGCACGGGGGAGGGGGGTTTTTTTTTTGATGACTTCTTTCTTTTTTCTTTCTTTCTTTCTTTCTTTCAAAAATATTTAAATAACTTTTTTCTAAAGAACCTTATTAAATAATAAATTATCAATTATTAAATTTTAAATAAGATCATATTTTGATTCATTTATTAGAAATTTTCTTAAATTCAGAGGATTATATACCAATGTTAGAATGATAAAATGATTATTACAATATAATAGAACACTTTTAAGAAATACTTCACCTAAGAATTCCTCTGTGCTACATAAATTAAGATTTCAAAAAAAAAAAAAAGTAAAAAAATTTTATACGTTGGAAAAAAAAAATAAAGAATAATTTCCAAAGATACTTCCGAATTTTTTTAAATAATAATAATAAATATTATTAAAAAAATTATAACTTGATTAACTTGATTACTTTTCTTGATATATTATAAGTATATGTACTACTATATATATGTGCACTATTTTATATGCTATTCTATTAAAATCTTTATTTCTGGATCGGCGGTTACGATATTTTATTAATAAACTTTATTAAGATTTTAAGGGGGAAAGTAATTATTTTATAAGAAAGGACAGACAATTACTTTAGTAGGATGGACAGTTATTTAAAAGAAATCAATAAAAAATTTCCTATCTTAATTACAGAATGAGAGAAGATTAAACATTATTATTAATAACTTTATTGAGATTAACACTTATTTCTATTTAGTCATAATTGTTTGTTAACTTTGATTTAATTAATCTACTTGATTGGTTGATCGTTAACTCATTATTAAATTCTCAAATCAAGGTCCTTGCACAAGTCTATTCTAACTACATAAAAATTAATGATCTTATTGAGAGAAAGAGACAAGAAAATGAATTGAATAAACTTAATTGTTCCTTCCTTGGCCCAAAGGGACTCTCACTCCTTTTTTAAATTTATTTATTTAGGTTGGGAAAAAGGATTAAATGAAAGAAGTTTTAATTTGAAGTGAGATGAAAGTTGGGAAAGAGATTTATGAATTTTTTTTTTGATAGGGGAGTATTTTATATATCTAAAAATTTGTTGTAATTCAATTTGATATTAGATTTATATATATTCAATTTTGATATTAGATTTATATTCCAATTTGGCATTAGATTTATATTCAATTTCAATTTGATATTTGATATTTTACTCATTAATTCATTATTTAATTAAATCTTTAAATCTTAGATTCTTCCCGAAAAAGCAGATAATGATTTATGTTCGAAATCCATAAGTATAAATTAATTTACCTGTTACACGCATGACACACAAAACTTGTAGCAGGATAAGACAGGTATAGTTACAAAATATTTTCCGAAGTTTTGAATTTAATAAATGAGGAAAGAATTAAAAATAATTATTAACAATTAATAAAGTTGTTGAAAGTTCCGCTTTTTCTTAACCATATTTAGATAAATAATAAATAAATAAATAAATAACAATTCAGTAATAATTATTTTGAAGTAACAATTACATAAAAGTAACGATTTTCTCCATTTTTATAAACAAGTTTGTGAACAAGTTTATAATTAAAAAGAATTTATTTTTAATTTAATTTTTTAACCAAATTCAGTTAAATTAAATAAATTGTTTAACTATAAATAATATTAAAAATATATTTTATTTATGTTGCACTTACATCTTTTTGGAATTTCTCTTTGCATTTCAATTTGTTAATTAATAATTAATAATTAAAATTAATTATTATTTATTTATGATTATTATTTTTTTTTTTTTAATATCATTTTTTTTCCTTTCTTTCTTTTCTCAAAAAATTTATCATCAAAAACAAAATTATATTATAAATTTTTTTATATACTTGACACTCTTTTAAAAAGAAAACTTGATTAAAATAATAAAAAATAATAATGGAGGGAAATGTGAACTTTTCAAATAATAATTCAAATAATTTGGCATTAATAGAATTAAATAGAAAAGCGAATATAAATAATATCAACAATATAAATAATATAAATAATATCGATAATATAAATAGTATAAATAGTATAAATAATATAAATAATGATAATAAGAATTCTGATGGTAAGCAAAAGATTCAAAAAAACTATTATATCTTCTACTTATAATTCTCAATACCAACTTAACACTAATGATGATGAATCATTATTTATTATTATTATTAATAATAATAAAGATGAACAAGAATATATGGAAATGTCAGGCGTTTCTCAACATGGAACTTTTATCAATGAATTATCCTCCTCTCCTTCTTCTTCTTCTTCTTCAAAATATATAAATAATCAAAATGATTATTTTGGTAAAATAATAGATGATAATGATGATAATGATGTAACAGCTACATCATTAATTAATAATAATAATGAACGACATGGATTTTCAAATTTAAAAAGAAAGAATAGTACTCTAAATAATAATAATAATAATAATAATAATAATAATAATAATAATAGTAATAATAATATTATTATTGAAAATTTGAAATCTCGAAAACCTCTCATTGCTTCTAATAGTATCAAAAGGATGAGTAAATTAGTTTCCCGGGCTTCAACTCGAGTTGTTAATTTTAGTAATTCTACTGAAAAATTAGGAAAAATAAATAATGAGAATGATAATCATAATAATAATAATAATAATAGTGGTAACAACATAAATAGCATAAATAACATAGATAGGAAATCGTCACCTGATTTAATAGCTGATGATTATTCAATATCTCAAAAAGAACCATCAATGCATTCAAATTCAGTGCATGAAAATTATTATTATTCTTCCTCAGATAATCCTTTGAGTGGAAAGTCACTTTTTGTCTTTGGTCCAAATAATCCAATTAGAAGATCTCTTTATTTCATTTTGAATAATCCGTAAGTAGTAATTTTAATTCATTTCATTTAATTTTAATTATTTAAATATTTATAAGTTATTATTAAAATTATATTATATATAATTATAATTTAGATGGTTAGAAACCTTTATATTATGTTTAATTATTACCAATATTATTTTATTGATTGTTGATTCTTGGACTCCTCCACCTGACGGTGTTAATCCTCGTAGAACAACTTGGGGGAGTTCTATTATTGATTATATGTTATTGGTAATTTTCATTATATATACGTAGGTAACTTGATTTATTAAAGAAAACATTGATTTTTTTTTTTATCTTTTATTTTTATTGGAATTTAAAGATAATAATTTATTTCATATTATTATTATTCTTCATCTTTTTTATCTTCTTTTATTCAGGTGTGAGATAACTTCTCGAATAATTGTTTCAGGATTTATTATTAATCCTGAAGAAGTTTCATCATCATCATCTTCTTCTTCTTCTCCTCCTATTCCTTCATCATCATCATTATCATCTGAATCAAAGTCAATAAACAATAATCAATATGTTTCACGAGTTATCGCCCAAAATTTAGGCTTCAAATCAGCATTCCTTCGACATTCTTTTAATCGACTTGATTTGATAGCCGTAACATCTTATTGGATAGATTTGTTACTCATATTTTTTGGAATACAACATTTTTACTTATTTAAATCATTATCAACTCTTAGAAGTTTAAGACTTTTAGCCATAACTAGTGGTGGATCCACTATATTACAATCATTGAAAAAAGCTGCTCCATTATTAATAAATGTGGCTTCTTTCATTGGTTTCTTTTTCGTTCTTTTCAGTATTATTGGTGTACAAGCTTTTAAAGGATCATTAGGTAGACGCTGTGTTTGGATTAATCCAAATAATGGTAGCAATTTTACATTGGAAGAACAATATTGTGGTGGTTATAAAAATGATAGTATCACTTATCCATTTGATGGATCTTCTTTGTCTTATGCCAAAGGATACATTTGCCCTGTTGGACAAATTTGTAAGGAAGTAGGAAATCCTTCAAATGGTTTAATTTCTTTTGATAATGTTGGATTTTCCATGATACTGGTTTTTCTTATTGCTTCAAGTAAGTTTTTTAAAAATTCATTCATTCATTCATTCATTCATTCATTGAATTAATTCAATATTAATTAATTAATCAATATTTTAAAATTCACTTATATTTATATTTATATTTATATTTATATTTATATTTATATTTATATATATTTAGCATCAAATTGGTCAGATCTTATGTACAATATAATAGATTCCGAATTTATGTGGTCATGCATATTTTTCATAATAGCTATTATTGTATTAAATTTTTGGTTACTTAACTTATTCGTGGCTGTAATAACTAGTATGTTTGCTAAAATTCGTGAAGATAGTGCTTCTCATTCGGCTTTCACTTTAAAAAAGCAAGTCTCTTTTTTTAATTAATAATTATTTCATTTTATCAATTTTTTTCATCATTAAATAATAATAATAATAAGTAAAATATCATAATATAATTTTATAGATCAACTCCTATTTTATTAGAAGAAGAGGAAGGATGGTCTTTTCAAGATGGTCATAAGAAATTAGGGACTAATTTATTATTTAAATTTATGAGAAAAATAAAATACATTTGGATATTGTTTATATGTTTAGATTTATTTGTTATGGCATATAGAACAGCTTATATGAGTCCTGAATTTGCTTCATTTTTAGGTAAATTTTTTATTAAATAATATTTTTGAATTATTATTATAATTATTATTATATTTATATTTTTATATTTATATTTATATTTATATTATTTATATTTTACATATTTATAATTAATTAGATCATACAGAATTAACTTTCACAATAATCTTAGCTATTGAAATATTATTAAGAATTTGTTCATATCATCCGGATTATTCTCGATTCTTATATTCCAAGAAAAATACGGTGGATTTTTTTTTGGTCGTGATCACATGTGTTATCCAAGTTCCAGTAGTTAAAAATTCACCAGCTTATTCATGGTTAACAGCATTTCAAATTGCTAGAGTGTATCGTGTTGTAATTGCAATTCCTCGATTAAGAAATATGTTGATGAGAGTGTTGGGAAGTGTGGCTGGTATTGCAAATTTGATTTTCTTTATTTTGATGGTAAATCTATTTGCTGCAATAGCTGTAAGTAAAATTCTTATTATTTTTATTCTTCTTATTTCTTTCTTTTTTTCTTTCTTTCTTTCTTATTTTAATCTAATTTCCTTCTTGTTGTTGTTATTATTATTATTATTATTTAGGGATTGCAATTGTTACAGGGATTTATTCCAAATGATGGCACAAATCTAATTACTTTTGCTGACATTTTCAATAGTTTTATAGCATTTTATCAGGTAAATTATCCATTTTATATTTATCCTATATCTATCTTATTTCTTTTTTAATAATAATAATAATAACAATAATAAATAAATAAATAAATATATTTATATATTTATATCTATTATAATTTATTAGCTATTTTCTGGATCAGATTGGACAACAGTGTTTCGTAATGTATTGGAGTATTATTCTAAACTTGGGAATACCGTGACGGCTATTATAGCTGCTTTATTCTTAATGGCATACATCGCTGTATCCAATTGTAAGTATAAAATAATAATTTTACTTTATTATGCATTTTTTTTTTTATTCTTCTCATCATCTCATAATCTCATCATTTATTTATTTATTTATTTTTATTCATTTATTTATTTTTATTTATTTTATTTTTATCTATTTTATTTTTATTTATTTTACATCCCACTTATTATTTATTATTATTTTTCAAGTTATCTTATTAAATATGTTTGTCGCTGTGGTAGCGGAAAATTTTGAAATAGTTGAAGAAGAAAAACATTTAAAACAGATTCAAGCATTTAAACAAAAATCCGTTCCATCGGTAGATAAAGATGATGTCATGTATCGATGGAATTTTTATCGATATTTTGAATCTAAACCGAAAGCAATTTCGGTTGATAGTATTCCTTCTAATTTAATTTTACCTACCCAAAAAAGTCGTGTCAGAGATTTTTTAAAAGAAAATCAAGAAATTGAAAAAAAGGTAAATATATATATATATATATAATTATTATAATTATTTTATTATCATCAAAATTAATTAATTATTAATTGATTATTGATTTATTATTTATTGATTTTAGAATCAATTGGATTATGATTTAATGGAACCATCAGATAATTTTATTATTCGGATTAAAAAGTTTTTTGGTTATTACGTTGAAGATGATGAAATTACTTTACTTGAACGAAAATCAGAAAGACCAAGTTTACATTATGAGGAAACTAAAGGAAATGTTGATACAATGTAAGAAAATAGTTTTTTTTTTTTTATCTTAAAAATAATTTTATTTTATTTTATAATTTCATTTTTAATAATAATTTCATTTTCATTTTAAAATAATTTTTATTAGAAATGAACCAATAACGGAACAACAACATAATGAGACATTTATTGATGATTATCAAGAACGTCAAGCTCTTAAAGCTGATTTTATTGCAGCTCATCCTGATTACGATGCTTCCCTTTGGCTTTTTTCTTCTCGTAATCGTTTTAGACGTTTTTGTCAACGTTTGGTACCTTCTAGTTATGGTCGACGTGTTCAAGGTTTACCTCCTTCCCAAACTTTAAGTTTTATATTTAGTGCATTCATTTATGTTTGTATCGTGGCAAATGTTATTCTTGCTACTATCGTGGTTCCTTCTTATCAAAAACAATATTTTCAAGAAAATGGTGGACTCCGAAGAATCACTTGGTTTTGGGTTACCGACGTTATATTTACAATTATATTTACCATTGAAATTTTAATCAAAGTAATTGCTGATGGATTCTTATTAACCCCAAATGCCGTTTTACTTAATGTTTGGAATGTTCTGGATTTATTCGTACTTACCACTTTATATGCTAATATTATTATTGGTCCAACTAGTAGATTTGGGGCTCCAAAAATTATTCGATCATTTAAATCACTTCGAGCTTTAAGATTAATTAATTTAAATAACAAAATTAAAGATACTTTTTATTCCATTTTAATAGCTGGAGCTCCAAGAATTTTTGATGCATTATTTTTAACACTTTGTTTAATTATTCCATTCGCTATTTATGGTACAAATAATTTTGCCGGATATTTATATAGTTGTAATGATGATTTCGATATTAATAATATTAATGATTGTGTAGGGGAATTTGAAACTTCCCCATTTAATTGGAATTATTTAGTTCCAAGGATTTGGGCTAATCCTTATCAATATAGTTTTGATTCATTTAAATATAGTTTATTAATTTTATTTGAAGGAGTATCAGGAGAAGGTTGGATTGATGTAATGGAATCCGCTATGCAAATTACTGGAAGGGATCAAAGTCCTAAACCTAATTCTAGTAAATGGAATGCATTATTCTTTTTGGTATTTAATTTAATTGGATCCGTATTTGTTATAACCGTATTTATTAGTGTGATCATGGCCAATTTTCAAAAGAAATCAGGGGCGGCTTATTTAACCGAAGAACAAAAGAGATGGATTGATTTAAAGAAATTACTTAAACAAATTAAACCATCCAAGATACCCAAGGATCGACCCAATAATTCATTTAGAGCTTTTTGTTATGATTATGCATGTCGGAAAAGAGGATTATTATCAAATATTATGATAGGAATTTATATAATGCATATCCTTTTACTTATGACCGAATTTTATAAAGCTCCAAGATGGTGGGAATTAGTGAGAACCATAGTTTTCTTATTATTTATTGGAATCTATATATTAGAAATTACAATGAAATTATCAGGATTAGGTTGGAAAGTATTTAAATCGAATCATTGGAATTTATTTGATTTGGTGGTAATTGCGGGAGCAACCATTACAACTGTATCAAATTTAGCTTTCACAAGAACTGACTTAACTTTTCAATCACAAACAAGAACTGATTTAACTATTCAATCACAAACAATAACCGATTTAATTATTCAATCACAAAAAATATTTTTATGTTTAATTACATTTAAATTATTTCAAAAAAGTGATGTGATGAATCAATTATTTAAGAATACAATGTAAGTATTATTATTATTTTTAATTATTATTTTTAATTATTATTTTTAATTATTATTATTTTATTATATTTTTCTATAAATAATTTTAAATATTAATTTATTTTTATTTTTTTTTAGAGGAAGTTTGCCTTCAATTTTCAATTTATTTGCTGTTTGGTTTATAGTATTTGTCATATATTCAATAATATTTATGGAAATTTTCGGACTTACGAGATATGGACCAAATGGAAGTGATTATGTGAATTTCCGTTATTTTAATACTGCCATGTTAACACTTGCTAGAATGTCAACTGGGTAATTATTTAAATAATATTTATCTCTAAATTTGATTTTCAATTATAAGATTCTAGTTATGAAAATTGAAAACTGAAAATTGAAAATTAAATTATTATATTAAAATCTTTTTTTTTTAGGGAAGGATGGAATTTAGTAATGCATGATTTTACCGTCAAATCACCAAACTGTGTTCAAGATGAAAATTTCTTAAATAATGATTGTGGAAGTCCTGCTTGGGCATATTTTTTATTTATCACATGGAATGTACTCTCAATGTACATCTTCGCTAATATGTTTATCGGTTTAGTAGGAGATAATTTTTCTTATTGTTATCAAATTGCTGCCGAATTTTCTTTAGTTAATCGTGATGAAATCAGAAAATATCCTTTTTTTATTTATTTATTTATTTAATTTATTATTTTATTTTATTTGATCGAGTAATGTTTATTTGTTTGTTTTTATAATTAAATTTCCTTGACTTTATATTTTTCATCATTTTACATTCAAAAAAGCTTGGGGTAATTCTGATATCAATAGAACTGGTTACATAAAAAGTGAAGATTTTGGTAAATTCTTTGCGGTAAATTTTTTTATCATTTTATTAACTATTCATTGTTATTAATTTGATTGGGTTTATTGGGTTTTAATTGACATCTTTTGATTCTTAATTTATAGAAACTTGAAGGAGCTTTTGAAGTTCGAATTTATGAAGAAGAATTTCAAATACCAAATTTAATAAAAAATTCATTAGTATTACATAGTCATCCCCCTGACTATAATCTATCAGATTGTTTCTTTTGTAAAAGTAAAACAAATCTTTTAACCGTGGGAAATCTTGATGTCAGAAAATTAGAACAAAATCTTGAGAATATTAGTTTATCTCACGTTTACCGACGAAAAAAGATTTATGATATGGTTTATCATGTAATTATAATTGATATTATTGTATTTGACATTATAGATCATTTATTATCATATCATTATTTATTTTCCATATTGATCTTTATTTATTTTTAGGAAGCACTGTTATCAACTGAAAAAGATTTACTTGGAAATGAAAAGGGAATTTCATTTACAAATATGCTTTTACTTTTAGCTTATTATAAGTTTGCCTCTGATGATAAATGTTTAGAGTAAGTTGAATTGTTATTATTATTATTCTATATTATTATTATTATTATTATTATAATATTAATTTATATATTTTATTTAATAAATTTTCTAATAAAATTTAAATAATTAAAATAATTTAAAATAATTTAGAATCAATGAGTTCGTAAAGAGAAAACTCAAATTAGAAAAAGTAAAAGATAGCGTTCACATGGATCAAGTGAAATCTTTATTAAGAACTATTTATTGGCAAAAGAAATACAAATCTTTGATAGAAATTAAAAGAGCCAAAGAAAGAACCACCATCACAAGTGAAAAAGGATTTGTTCCACTTATTATGGTTAATAACAGTCCAGAAGCTCAATCAACTCTTCCCACCCTTAAAATCGACACATTACCAACCTCATCATCTCCTTCCCTTCGAATAAATACTTCAAGAATTGGACATCATATATCTATACAATCTTTACAATCTTTTCAATCAAATTCTCCCACAACTCCAACAACTCAATCACCAGGTTCTCCTAATTCCCCGAATTCAATGTTTTCTGAATTTCGTGATTCGGAATATTTTAATAATTCGCCCCGAGGTTCAACAGGAGATTTGTTAGTATTTAAGATTTCATATTTTTTTTTTAAAAAAAAATTTTAATAATTAATTAATCATAATTTATAATTTATAATTTATAATAATTTATTCTTTATATATATATATAAAAAGTGCTCTATCATTTGGAGGAGGAACTAGCATTAATTTTATAGATGCTAATAGTACTGATATGGATGAAATGACGGCTGGTCAGATTCTCAATAGTCTCCAAAGCAATCATTGGCATGGTAAGTTCATTCATTCTTTTTTTTTTCTTTTTCTTTTATTTATTTAAATATAATAATATTTTAAATTTATTTATATCTATAATTTTTTGTAGATGCATTACGAGAAATATCACAAGACGAGAATAGAAATGATTCATAAGCATATAAAATATTTATTTAATTCATTAATTCATTTACTCATTTACTCATTTACTCATTCATTCATTCATTCATTGTTTCATTTTTGCATTTTGAACAAATTTTCTCTAAAACTTGCATATTTATTATATTTTTAAATAACATTTTTTTTTTCTTTTTAATTTGCATATTTAAACAATCACATTAAATAGTAGATTTTTATTATTTATTTATTTTATCATTTTATTATATCATCTTATCATTTTTTTTTTCATTATTTTACTTTGGTAAATAAATGCATATAAATACAAATATTGAAACATGAAATATTGATAAAATTGATATAATTGATATTATTATACATAACTTTTAAATCTTTTTAAATCTCTCAAATGAAATTTCTAAAATCGATAAATCCTTGAAGTTCCTGAATTTCCTTCTATTTCTAATGAAAATTCATTTTCACAATAATCACAAGGTGGTGCTCTCTTGATGCGATGAGTATCATCTCTTTTTTTTTAAAAAAAAAAATTGGAAATAAGAAATTATATTATAAATTATATTTATATAATAATACTAATGATAATAATAAAATAAATATATATATATAATTCACTTACATTTTAATATCATGAGCAAAATAATTTTCAGGTTTCATACCAACTCTTACTTGTTTAAAAGTACCAACACCTTTATTTACATAATGATCAAAAATATCTAAAAATTCTTCTTTATTTAAATCTTCTTCATTTAAACAATCAATTTCTAAATATAAATCTTTGATATTCACTTTCTCGGCATTTTTAAAGAACCTTTCTAAACCTTGAGAAGAGATTGTCCAAGTTAATGATAACCCTAAATATTTTAATGTCAATGGTAATATCATTCCACATTCAGGTAAAATGGTTTCTAAATCATAAACATATGTAGAATCATTTGATGCATTATAAAAGGTAACATCTATTAATAAATTTAATGATTCAAAAATTGTTGGTAATAGATGAATCGTTTCTTTGGATAATTTAAATATTAGTAAAGTTAATTTCGTACAATATTGTGTTATGGTTAAAGTTAAATTCATAAGATTCTCCGGATCTTTATGATAATACCAAAAAAGACGTAAATGAACAAGATTATTATTGGTATTTTCAATTAATTTAATAAATTGTTTTATGTGAGGTGAATGAATTTCTAAATCCAAAATTACAAGATGTTTATAAGATGTATATAATAATTTATCTAAGATATGACTTGAAAATACAGGAGCTGATGAATTTATTTTTAAAATTTGAAGAGAATTATAATTTAAAAATACAATTGGTTTAATTACTTCTTCTTCTTCTTTTTCATTCCAACTTGAATCAAATTCTTTTTCTTCGATTGTTAAATCTATTAATGATGATGAATGTTTGTCATTTAATATTTGTAAAATTTTAGATAAATTAGAACAATTAATTATTGCCACATTTTTAAGATTCTTTTGTAATGATAAAAGTAAATCCATTCCAGAATTTTTATTTTTATCTTTATCTAAATTCGTCGTCGTCGTCGTTACTCTCAATTTAGTAAATTGGGTAGAAATTTGAGTAAAACGATTAATTATTTCGGAAGGAATACAATATGAATGAAATAAATCTAATCTTTCAAAAAGTTTATTTGTTGTTATTGTTGAAATAAATAAATCATCAGGATTATTAATTAATTCATTAAAACCTCGATGATCCAAAGATATCATTGCAATACTTTTAAATGGGGAACATTGAATCATTAACATTTTCCAAATTTCCCGAAAGATATTATTCTCAAAATCATAATTAGAATTAATTCCATCTCTTCGATTTAAATAATTTTTGAACCTTCTTGAAATCCATCTTTCAATTAATTTATAAATTATTGTAAATTCAAGATGACGTAAGTAAGATGCATAATTAAATATTGGTGTGTCAAATGTAATTGATTCCACATTATTATTATTATTATTATTATTATTAATGAATAATTTATTTCGTGTTGCATCCGGAAGACAAGCCACATAGGTTTCAATAATATTTATATAACTTTCTTCGGTAAAATGACTATAATTTCTAAAAGGATTTCTCCAAAAAATTCCAACAACATTTTGAGACCAAAATCGATTTACGAATAAACATTTGTATAATGATTTGTTGTCTAAATATTTGAAAACTTCTTCAAGGAATTCTGGAAGTTGTAAAAATTTCATGGTTAAAAAAAAGAAAAGGAAAAAAAAAAGTATTACAAATTAAAATCTGCAGTCGGTTAAAATAATTACTTATCGGATTTTATTTTAATCAGGTGATAACATACCAACGATGATGAAGGTTATTACTAAAGTTGCCTACCGTAATTGTTTTTAACAGGGTTGTAATATTACAACCTATATGTCGTAAATGGTTGTAATATGTTGGAATTAATTACGGTAGGCAACTCTAGTTATTACATAGTATAGTTAGTTTTATTGGTAGATAATATCTTTATTATTTATTATTAGAATTCTGCCACAACAAGCACAGTAAATTTTAAAAGGTATATTATTAATGTTACAAGAATATTACAATATTTAATTATTAATTATTTAGTAAGTTCGAGACTTTGATTTTTTTTTTAAAAAAAAAGAAAAAATTAACATTTTAAGTAATTGTTTATAATTGGTTTAAAGATAAATAACGTAAGAAAATACATAACAATAACAAAAATCTTTGCATGAATTTTTTTTAATGAAAGTTAAAGTTTTGAAGTGTTTCAAACGCCACCATCAAATTTTTAATCAGATGGTTCTTATTTTCTAAAATTAGTTATTATCTATACTATTTTTACGATTGTTTGACAAATTGATTATGGTTGTTTTTTTTAAAAAAAAAAAATTGTTTCTTAACAATTAATAAAGATTGCATGTACTTTTAAAAAAAAAAAAAAATCAAAAAGGTTTAGTAAAGGTTTATAAAGGTTTATAAAGGTTTATAAAGGTTTATTAATTGCATTCGCAATTATTCATAATTAATATATTGCAGAAAAAATGAATAATTTACAATTTTTGTATATATAAAGTTCTTCAGATTTGGATAATGAAATTTTATCGCATAAATTTTTCGTGTTGGTTTTCCTTCACATCTTCACACTCTTTTTTTTAAACAAAGTTCACTTTATCTCTCTTTCCAATTGGATAAATTGGGATGACCAAAATTATCTTCATTTTCTGGGTTATTGCTTTCTTTTCGATGAGCCATGCATTTCCCAACACTTCTCATTTAAATAACAACAATACATTTCACATTGATAATAATAATGATAATAATGATAATGTAACAAAATCACAAGAATCAAATTCTTTAACAAATGATGACGTGAAATCAAATAAAAGTTATGAAGATGAACACGGTGTTTATGTCGTGCGTGTAGCATATTTATTCGGTTTAATTATGTTTCAAATTGACGCGGCTTGTATTATTTATGTGATTCATCGAACTTATCAACGTTGGAAAACATCAGGATATTACTTATTAATGGCTTACAAGATACCATTTTATATGGCTGTAATAGATTTTATAATTTATTTTTTTCAAACCGTGAATTTAGTAAGAATTTTCTTTTCTTTCGAATTATTATTATTATTATTATTATTATTATTATTATTATTATTATTATTATTATTATTATGTTTATTATTATTATTATTATTATTATTATTATTAAATCATTTTTAATTAATTATTTTGAATTATTTTTTCTTTCGAATTTAAATTAATCATTCATTAATTAAATAAATATTTTTTTTTAGTTACATCCTTTAGCAGCCACTGATAATTGGTCTGAACCATATTGTTCTATCATTGCTGGTGGTTTCTTTTTTTGGACAATATTCAATATCTTAACGGTAGGAATGTCCGCATTAGTGAGTTGGCTTATAGGTAATGTATTTAATTTCAAAGTTATCGCTCTCACAAAAGTAAGAAAAGAGTAAAAAGTAAGAGACGAGACGATCAAATAAATTTTTAAATTTTTTATACATGTAGTTTGCAAAAAGGCTCAACTTAATTTTGGAACTTATGATTACAAAATATTCATTATACCATTCACGTTTGCAACAATTTTATGTATTATATCTTTTCCAACTTTTGGGAGTGACGAATTTTGGTAAATAATAATAATAATAATAATAATAATAATATTGATTTATTCTTACTGATCTTTTCTACTTCTATTACAAATTCAAATAATAATATTATTATAGGTGTTATACTTCGGATCAATATACAACAGTTCCTGCTATCTTGTTGATTGTCGATATTTTAGTCCTAACTTTGTCTTTATGTTGTTACATAAATATTCTTAATGAAATAAAAACTTCCGAATTATGTAATAGAAATGGTCACTTGATAAAGGCTTATAGAAAAATATTGGGATACATCGTTATGTACATTGTTCAATGGGTAAGCTTCTTATATATATTGTAATAGATAGGCTAATTATAGTTAATAGTTAATGTTAATGTTAAATATAGTTAATTCGATATTTAACTATAGTTAATTTGATATTTAACTATTGACTATAGTTAACTATAGTTAACTATAGTTAATAGTTAATTAAATATCAAATTAAATTGAGTTAACTATAGTTAATTATAATTAATTATAGTTAATTTAACTGAACTGATAACATTTAAATTATTTAGACTCCTCTCATGATCTACGTAATCGCCGATGTATTAAATCAAGAAAGATTATGGTTATATTTTTTTACGGTTAGCTTTATTTCCATGGGAGGCATTCTTAACATGGTTCAATATATTTTAAATGAAGGATGGAAAGATAAACCTGATCTCCTATATGAAATTTCACGAAGGGGGATATCACAATCCATTAAGAGTCATGAAATTGAGGTATGAATGAGAATTGGAATTATTGGTTAAAGATTTATGAAAATAATAATAATAATAATAATAATCTTAATAATGGTATTATTAATAATCATATTAATCGTATAAAATGTAATGATGATAATGTTTAATATGTATATTGCAACTTTGTAAATAAAATTAATAAATAACATTATCTAAGACATCATTAGAAGTGATCGATGAATAACCCAGGATGTAAACAATTTTTAATTATTATTGTATTTTATGACTAAATTAAGTCGAATGTTATCAAAAAAGAAATTAATCTTTCCATATGCATTAATTCTGTTCTCACAATCATATGTTATCTTGGAAAATCCGGAAAACCCATTTTTCACAAAGATTTTGTAAGATTCGACTGAATTGGTTTATTCCTTTCCTTCTTTTTTTTTGCTTTTAAAAATTTTTTTAAATCAAATTGTATTTCTAATTATCAAACTTCTATTGTCTTAAAGCATTGTTGATTTTATGGAAATCTAACTTATATTAATTTGAACTAGAAGGTTGATCACGAGGATCTAAGCTTATAGGTTTTTTCAATAACAAAAGGTTTCATATTTGCTAGAGACTAAGATTAAAAGGTAGAATTGACATTGTTTTTCACATGGTTATTATGGATTGGATTTAATCAAAAAAAAAAAAAAATTTTTTTTATCTTCGAAAAATCAGAGATCTAGGATATCTTTTTTTTTGGTACATGATAAGGAACTTTTTTTCCCGTACGAGAATTATGAGAATTCTTACAGATAATTTATAATAGATAAAAGAGAAACCTAATACTTTACTATTATTACTACTATCATAGCTTTGTATATGTTATTTCAATGGAGAAATATTAACAATTATTTAATAAATTTATTGTAAAAATTTATTTATTTATATTCTTTAACAAAAAAAAATAATTCTACAAGCGTTAAACTGCAAAGTGTGATATACATAACTATAATGATAACGAAAGAGAATTATTAAGCATAAAGTTTTACATAATCAACCATAAATTTTCTTCAACGAAGCATTTTTGTTGCATAACTATAATTAAACTTAGAAGCGAAAAGAGTAAAAAAAAAATACCCGGGAAAGATAGATAGATAAAAAAAAAATGCGAAATATCGAAATCGAAGTGCATTAATAAACGAAAAATTCGATTTTAAACGAAGATAATATAAAAAATTGACTAAGCTTTACTTATTCTGTGATTAAATCGATTTAATTCGATTTATATAGTCGTTAAAGGTACATAAAAAAGAATGTAATAAAAGTTGGGATTTTAATTATTTGCGTGCACTATAATATAAATTTAACGTATTCCATCTTCTAAATAATTAATCACAAGAAAAACTGTCAGTTGATAACAAGCGATAAGAATTTTAATAATCTCATTTCATTGTCAATGCTTCGATAAATATAATCTTTCAAATACTTACTTCACGTGATGAGTTCTATCGAGAACCTGAGAATAAATTTAAAGGTATTAAAAAATTTAGAAAATAAATAACAATTGACCAAAAAAAAAGGGAATAAAATTATGAATTTTATTTTTTATAAAAGAATTATAAAATTAACATTACATTTAATTCCCCTAGGAAGGGAATTATTTATTTATCCATTCTATGGAAGAATTGAATTCATTTATCTAAAAATAATAATTGTTACGAGAAATATTTTAATAATAATAATGATGATTATAATTATAATAATAATGATAATTAATATTAAACTCACCGAAAAATTTATCAACTCATTACAAAACTGAAATACATGACGCGATCTTTCAAGAATCGTAGGGGTATATATATATAGATTTGGTCATTACAAAAAATATATATTCTATAACCTGCACGTTAAACATAAAAGTTAACCATAAAAAAAAATTGATGCAGATTTTTATTTATTTGTTGTGTTATTGTTGTTAAGAAAATATCAATTGAATAATTATATTAATATTATTCAATGAAAAATAAATGTGAAATCATGAAAATTATATATTTATTTCATTTATTTACAATACACTACATAAATTATGATCAATAATAAATAAATAAATAAATAAATAAAAACCATGTTATAATATAATAAAGTAATAAAATTAAAAAATAATTTCCCTAGTAATAATAATAACGATAATAATAATAATAATGACTTGCTTTTGTAATGAAGATTAATGTATCTGTACATTAAATAAATGCTTTATACTTTTTTTTTTCGGAAAGCACAGAACAAAGTTCTCGTGTGGTAGATGACGGCGTTGACGAAACGAGATTAAAAAAATCTTTTTTGATAAATCTTTGAAGATCCCTTGTGATCCCTTGTGCCGAGCATAATTTTTCAGCCAATTACTGTGCAGAACTGTTTGTGAAACAAATTGAGTAATTAACCAGATTGGGTAACATTTTATGGTCTGTGACCTTAAATTAAAAAATTTTCTCAGTAAATAAAGTAAAAATAAAGTATATTAATATAAATTTATTTATAAATTTTATTTTAATTTTCTATTTTTATTATGATAACAATCGTTGCATTTTTCAAAAATAATATTTGAGTTTTTTCTTGATGATAATGAACTTCTTTTAAAATATGACATCAACATATATATGTTGTAATTAGTAATTTTCTGCAATGTATATTAGATAATTATATATATATTATATCATATATTATATTAAATTATACTGTTATATTAAAATACATTATACTGTTGTACTATATATTAAAATACATTCATATATGTATCAAGAAAATACAATAAAGTTGATGACATAAATAATTTTTCTTATAAAACAGGAATAATTTTCTTTGACAAAATCCATAATTAAATATATTGTATTATATTATAAGTTATAGTAATATAGTAATATCATTATTACTATTTAAAATTTTTACTGCATGCAATAAAAATCTTCAACATGTGATCAAATTTGAAAATGAGCCTTTCTTTTTTTTTTAAATATGGTTAAATTAATTACAAAGTTAATTCACAATGCTTGAGAGAATTTCTCGTTTATCATTTTAACATTTACAGTAATAAAATACGAATAATTTATTTCTTTTTTATATATTTTAATTTTATTTCATAATAAATTAAACCAAGAAAAAAGCCATTAAAAAAAAAAAATTAATATGTTACCCAGATCTAATGCCAGATCAAAAAATTTATTAAATAATACAATAATCTAATTAGAAAGGTCCCACTTCAAAAGCCTCGATTCTAAGAGTAACGTTTTACAAAAGGAGATATATAATTTATTAAATTCCGAGAATTTACGATACTTCAATTTCATTAATTATTTATTTATAGTTAATTATATATTGTATTACTTATTACGTTCTCTGTCTTCGGAATTCTCAAGCTTTAAGCCAATTCAAAGGAGACAAGCCCCCAAAAAATATTTCTTTTCAATTGGAGTATATTTTTATCTGCAGGAACTTGTTTCAAAATAATTAAAATTTAAATAGTTTAATGAAGGCTGATTTTTGCCAAAAACTGTGTACCAACATTTACTCAACATATTTCAATTCCCAAAAATTTTCTCAGCTTCATAGCAAGATATTCTTCGTATTATTATTTATTATTACAATACAATTTAAAAATCTGATAAGATTTCGATGAGATTAATAACTGATCATTTTTTTTCTTTTCTTTTTTGAGTAAAAAAAAAAGAGAAAGTTAGTCTTTAAAAGAATATAATATTATAAATATAATAAAATAAATATGAATGCATAAATCATACGACAATTATAAGAATATTCTAAATTATAAAAATTACAATGATTTTGTTGAAAAAATATTTCATGCTTTTCGTTCTTTTCTTATTTTTTTTTTATTTTAAATAAAATTGCATGTTCCTAGAAAAAAAGTAGAGTCTGCGACCCAAGTCTGCTGGTTGGCAGAATTCAAAGATTAAATAAACGCTATTTTGGTTGTATCCGTTTGATTTATAATTTGCATCAAAATTTTGTATTTTAAATACTTTTTTTTTTCTTTTTTTTTTTTTTGATTGCTAAAATACTCGAGGATAATATAAACCAGTTATTTATTAAAGTCAACCCTGACAACAACATCACATTTTTGCCCAATGTACTAATAATCTCATATCATATGTTTTCACTATAGAGGGGAGTTGACTGTTATTAAATTCTTTATTTGATATCGAAAGTTGAAAATAATATAATTTGTCTTCTCTCTGTGCATAACTAAAATATAATTTGTCTTCTCTCGATTAATTCTGTGCATAATTAATATGATTTCTTTCGGATTAATGTTGACCCCTTAAATATCCCAAATTTGCAGTTGTTATTTAAAAGCTGTACTTCTAATTAATGTAAATACCTTTTTATATCGAAAAATGCACATTCACATGAAATTAAAAATGCATATTTTGCATCTCTTCATATGAAAAGTTATATTACTAAACTATTACTTTAATAAAAATAGTGAAAACGGATGAAATATGTTTTAAGTATAACTATAATTCCGGCTCTGAAAGAGACTCTTAAACTTAGATTTTTTTTTGTACTTCGGGGTATAGATTATGTTTATTCCGAATTTTATTGGACCATAATATATGTAAAAAATCCTGTCTCCAGGATATTTAATAAAAATCTTGCTCGGTGATAAATACACCACCTCTGACCAACCCAACCCTAACCCATGTATTTAACGTAACGGCATGTGAGGAAATAGGGTAAAAGCTATACTTCAAGGAACACGTTAAGATTTCCAAATTGAAACAGGAATTATAGTTTATAAAAGCTCACCCGTAATAATAACATTAAAGAAATTTGGTTTTCAACCCTTTTTTTAAATTATTGATAATACAAATAAACAAATCTACATAATTAATTATCAGTAATTATTACACAAATCTGAACAGAATGCTAAACAGATTGCGGAATACATCTATTTGTTTTATTTATTAAATTATATGTATATTTGAAAGAACATGTTGCGGTGATCTGCATCAAGTTATTCATAGCATATAAACAAAAATGCAACATTAACAACATTAATAAATTATTCACTAAATATTTGTCATTAATATTTTATTTATAATCACGGAGATGACCCTACGTTATGTAAATGCTTTTTATTTTTATCAGTCAAATTTTATATGATCAAACATTTCGATTCTTCTTTTACATATGTACAATAACGTCAAATACCGTATCCTACTGAGAATAAGCATCAGTAATAATTTGAAAAATGATTTATATATTCGAAATTATTATTTAAATATAAATTTTACTAGCACCACACACTTGATTTCAGATAAAAATGTTATCCAAAAAGTGGTGCTTATTCACGGTAGGATACGATAATAATAGTAATAATAATATTGATATCTTAAGCTTTTTTTATTTTATAATATTACAAAATTAATTTTTTTTTTTTTTTTTAATTCTAATAATAAGAAAAGTATTTAAGCATTGACAATAATAATAAGAATAAAAATTTCCTATTTTATTTTTTTAATAATATCTTTCATGGAATTTTAAATTTCGGACATAAATGACGACTTTTGATTCGTTCTTTGAATTTGATCCGAGATTTGGAGTTAAGACTATCACGTGTGCAACTATTTAAAATTTCGTTATCTATAACAATAAAAAGTTTCATAATTTCATTTCATTTAATATTGTTGTTACCTTTTGAGAATAATAAACCATAACAATATAAATAATATTATGTAAACTATAAATATTAATTACAAATATAAATTATAATATAAACATTAATATAAATACTAAACGAAACACATTTTGATGCAAAAGAAAAAACCCCTTCGGATTTAGACAGAAACAATGAATCTATGAAATGTGTTATTATTTTGACATTACCTTATAAAAACAAAATATTGTGGACCAATTAGAACATGCCAAATTACAAAGAATAAACAATAATTAAAAAGAATTTCGTTTATGAAAATATTAGCTGTAAATTTAGTAATACGTTGTACCAGAATATAATAAAAATGCTTATTCTAATTAAATTTTTTGATTGTTCTTTTCTCAAAATAACCATATCGGGATATTCATTATATACGTTTAAAATATAAATGTATAAACATATATCTAACTTTAAATACTATTTCTCCGTTAATTAGATTATTTTTCAAGTCTTAACTTCTAAAAAAAGAAACTTACTTGTATATTATTAATTTTTATATATTATACTATGTAATAAAAACACATGATAAAATGTACATATTTTGCACAGTATTTTTATATTGTTCATTTTTTAATTTTTGTACATTTTTCTTCTATAAGGTGAAAAGTTCCACCTTTCTTTTTGCCTAAAGCAGTAAAAATTCTGGTTGTTTGAAAAATGTTGGTTTAAAAAAAAAGGAGGGCGTCACCTAAGAAAAGAGCATCACTATAAAATATGCATTGTATAAATTATTATTTGCAATAACAAATTGTTTATTTGTCAAAAATAACAAAGATGCAACTTCCCCTGTTCTTGATTGCTAGTTAGAATAATCAATTCTCCATGTTCCCAAAATTGTCTATCATATAAACCCAAATCTGTGTTATAAATATTAAAATATTTCGAAAACTAGTGTTTTAATCACTTAAGATGTATTAAGATAAATTTTTTCCTGCATTATGTTACATATATTTTATTATTATCATAATGAAAGTTTTTTCATTAGTTATTGTTATATTTGATGTGAAATATATGTTTTACAATAATATTTATATAAATTAATATTTTATAACTTGTAAATTAACTTGTATAAACTTGTATAAACCTGCATAAACCCGCATAAGCATAAACTTGCATAAACTTGATTCAAGAACTTGATTTGATATTTTACAATTTGATTTGGAATTAAGGGTCATACTATGAAATTTGACTTGAGAGTCAGGGTCATACCTCTAGACTTGACTCATTAGGAGCACTATTTCAGACAGAGCAATATTTGCAACTGCACTTGTGTCCTTTCTTGTCAAAATACCTGAAATGTATATATTCAATTGTACCATTTAAGCAAACAACTTGCTTTTTTCCATTAATAGTTTAATAAGTAACAGATTTTGAAAAGTAGTATTGATATAAAAAGTAAATTCACTTGCAAAAGAAGTCAAAAGTTTAATTAATAACTTGTGATCTCTATGTAAAATACCTTTACTATTGGAATTGAATCACTGGAAGATTAGGATGTCATTGTGAGCCCTAAATATATATGTTCAAATTATTAAAATTAATTTTGAATTTGGGACTATAATAACTTCATAGGAATTTTAGGTTTGGGATTTAGTATTTGAATTTAAATAACATGTATAGATCAAGTTCTGCTAATTATCAGAAGTCAAAAGAAATTAGAAAATAATAACAAAACAACTTGAAATAATCAAATTGAAAAAAGCACTTGCAAAAGCCAAAAGTTCATTATATTCAATAAACAAAATACTTCTTTTACCAATATCACCAATACCACTACAACTAAAATTAAAAAAAATAAAATAAAATAGAATTGGTAAGCATTTTTACAGTTCTTTGATTTTTTGTTCTCCAATATAGATGCATAACAATTATTGAGCATCATTTATCAGAGAAAAAATATTTTGCTAAACTGATCCAGAACAGTTGTTACTTTACAACAAATACCAAAAATTCTTGAGGAAATATTTACTGATACATATAGAGACCACACCATATCCATTTAATATTCAACAACTTTCAAAACCAACAAGATTACTGCCAATTTACTTTCTTAAAGCATCACCAGAAAAATGACAAAAGAATAATGTAGACCTTGTGATCCAACAAAAAAATTAGCAAAAGAAAGTTGAGAGAAAAGTTGAGAGAGATCAAATGGATGTATAGTAAAAATAACAACACAAGAGTGGAAACTCATTTGTGCTTCCTTCCTAACAAGCAGTGATTTATTGTGTAAGACATTTGTTGATATTACAAACAAGTACAACACTTCCAAGACTGCTTCTCGTTGTCCTCAACCGAACTTGTCAAATTATTAATGGAAAAAAGCAAGTCGTTTGCTTAAATGGTGCAATTGAATATCCATTCCAGGTTTTTGATCAGGTATACACCATGAATAAAGGAGTTGCAAATATTGCTCTGTCTGAACTGACCCTCCCCACAATGCTAATATTACATAAGGTATATGATTCCATTCGTCATTCGTGAAGAATGAAATATATAAGTGATTTTGAATTCTTTGTTTTATTCCCCATATTAACTTTGTTACAGCATGCATATAACAATCACTCCTTTTTATAAAATTGTTACAAATTTGGTAAAGGAAATGATTTTCACGTTTAATAAAATAAATAGCTCATCAGCACAAATAAAAAAAAAATTTCAAAAAAAAAAATCAAAAAAAAAAAAAATAAAATTTCACTTTTTTTTCCTGCTGGTCAAAAAAAAATCAAATAGATTTTTATTACATTCTTTTTCATTCATTTCAACTCAACTTTAACAAATTCCTAAATTCCCTATAACATTTTCAAAAAAAAAATGGGACAACAGGGTTCAAGATTTAAAAAAAAGAAGAGAAATTCGATTTCTGCAGCAGATAATCGTGCAAGTGTGAGTAGTTTCAAAGAAGAATATAACTTCGAAAACCCTTACATGATGACAATAAACGAAACACAGATAGATAGAATGCAAACACAACACCATATCTTAAGAACCATTTGGGGCAATAACTTTTCTGCTCCCATAAAAGATAAATTAAGTGCTGACCATAATTATAAAGTTCTTGATTTCGGGTATATATTTAAATTGATTTTTATATTGAAAATTATTAAATTCAAATTTTCGACCTTAATAAAAATTTTACATTTTTTTTTTGTTTAGATGTGGTCCTGGAACATTCATTTTCGATCTATCTTCAACTTATCCATTACCAACATTCATTGGAGTTGATTTTGTTCCAATATTCCCAACACAAGTTCCTCGAAATACATCATTTCTTGTAGCAAATATAATGGATGGATTACCATTCGAAGACTGTACTTTCGATTATATACACGCAAGATTTTTAGTAATGTATTTTACACAAGAAGAATGGGAAAATGTGGTAATAAAAGAATTGTCGAGAGTCCTAAAACCAGGTGGTTATCTAGAATGTTATGACAGTGAAATTCCTTGGTATAATATGTCGCCATCTTTAGAAAAATTAAGTGATGCAGGTATTTATATAACTATTTATTAAAATTATTTAAAATTCATTTTTGAAAATAAACGAAATGAATTAATCAAAATTTATTGAATATTGTTACAATAGTACAAAAGGAACTTTATGCAAGAAATATTGATCCTTTGATGTCAAGAAAAATTGATGAATTTATAAAAGCCACTGGTGAATTTGAAGACATACAAAAGGAGCAAAAAGATATTCCTTATGGTTCTTGGGGAGGTAAAATAGGTAATTACATTTTACTGATATTCATTCGTTCATTATTATTATTTAATACACAATTAAATAATTAAATAATAATAATTATTTAATACACAATTAAATAATTAAGTAATAATAATTATTTTTTTTTTTTTCAGGTGAACTCTCCGCCCAAACATTTTTTCAATTTTTTGAAGGTGTTCGTAAACCGATAAAGGATATCATGAATATAAATGACCAAGGATTCGATAAATTAATGAAAAAATTCGAAAGTGAAATTAATTACTATCACACATATTCCAAAAATCATAGGATTGTCGCTCGAAAAATCGAACGTTAAAAAATTTTTAAAATTTTAAAAAATTTCATAGAATCTTCTTTCATAGATTTCTTTTTATTTTTAAAAAATAAACCTAATTGTGAAAATACTATTTTAGATCATTTTTTCTTAAAATGCAAGAAATAATATAATTTGTGTACCAATGTGCGTTTCGCGTAAACAATAAATCATTATAATAATGAAATGTTTCAAAATTTCCATCTTGAAATAACATCTCACTGCATAATTGAAAGTCATAGTTTCGGCTTCGTTAAGAAAGGTTAGAGAATTTTTTATTCCTAAATTCTTATTTTCTTTTAGAATTTACATTTAAGTTCTATAATTTGTTCTATCATTTGATTAAAAATATAAAAATATTTTGCTCTAAAAAGCATAAAAGCAGCCTTTTTAAAAATATCCATATCCAAGGAACTTCAGTCGTTAAAAACTACATTTATCCAAAGCAAGAAAAAATTTGTGAGAATCCAAGTTATTTATAACAGAAATTCAAGTGTAACTTTTGACCGTTCAACTTTTGAAAGATAGAATATTTAGAAAAATATCAATTTATTCAAAGTTTATTATAATGTAAAATTCACAATTTTTTTTATTCAGTGTTTTAATTTAATATGTACAGAAGTTCATTATTTCACTATTTTAGTCAGCTTACCCTAATATATGTATATTCATATAATTATGTTACGTTCTGTATTTTATAATCTAACGTCTCTTTATATTTCTTATTCGCAATTTGATTAAGAAAAAATAATTACATTCAAGTCTTTACGTCATAATTAGATATATAATTTCTATACGACAACCATATAGCCTATACTAATTATACAAATTAAAAGATTTAACCCAATACTCATATTTAAAGTATTACTTGAACTTGGCACATCTGGAGAAGAAGTATCAGTTTGAGCTGTGACAACACTTTTTACGACTACTACGGTCGAGGCAGGTATCTCAGTAGTCATAACAGTTAATACACCTTGCTCATCTTGTGTGGTAAATGCTGATGTACTTCCTGGAATAACTGTCGTTTCAGATGTAATATATGTGGTCAATTTTGTAGTTTTTATGGAATCTATTGTCGAAGTTTCATCATCATCTGAGTCAGTGGTTTTGGGGGTGTCTTTAGTGGTGGGAGTTGTGGCATCGGTTTTTGTATTTGAGTTTCTGAATAAAAATAAAGAATAATGAATAATGAATCTTTTGCAACAGGTATCATTTGATTTTATAAAATACTTACGAAGTTTTACGTGAAGTGGTGGGTGATGGAGTTTCAGTTTCAGATGGAGTATCAGGTGAATCAGTGGGTGAATCTTCAGGAGGTGAAGAGGTGGGTGAATCTGAAGAAGTGGGAGAATCTTCAGGTGAAGAAGTGGGTGAATCTTCAGGTGAAAAAGTGGGTGAATCTTCAGGTGAAGAAGTGGGTGAATTTTCAGGTGAAGAAGTGGGTGAATTTTCAGGTGAAGAAGTGGGGGAATCTTCAGGAGGTGAAGTAGTATCAGGTTCCGAATCTGTAGTTAAAGGAGCTCTTTTCGTGGCTTTGAATCAAAAGAACAAAATTGTTAGCAGAAGTAATGAGTTGAGTAATAGTCAAATTTTCTAACAATCATACCAGTAGCAGTAGTGCTGGTGGAAGATTCTGTTGACGTTGAATTAACTTCATCTCTTAATTCAAGTTTCTGCAAGGGAATCGAATCAATTGCAGAAATAAAGAGCATAAGAATAAAAATAGAAAACATAAATATATGAATTATAAATCTTGTATTCATTGTGAAAAAGCTAATAATAAATTTTTTATAAATTTTTTATGGTGGATTTAAAGATCTATTTTTGGGTGAGATTATAATACAAAGTAATTGAAATAATATAAATAATATATATATGGGAGTAGCGAATCAACGTCACTGAAATAGAAATAATAGAAATAATAGAAACGATTAACGTCACTGAAATACTCTTTGATCTACAAAGAAAAATTTCAGGCGATCACTGATTCTTGTTTTTTTTTTTTTTTGGTAAATCCTCTACGATTCAGAGATATTTATAAAAAAGTATCTCAATCAATAGAATTTTTTCACAATAGATAAATAATATGCAGGAGTTTCTTAGTTTCAATCTTTCTAGTCCATTTTTGGAATTAAGGTCAACATTCTAAACATTCTAGAGTTTTACGAATGAAATAAAGAATCCTTTTTTTATGGCGGTTTCACCAAATGGCGTTAGGACACAGGTATGCATAGGATCAAAAACCTTTGTTTTTTACCAAATAGACGTATTTAGAATTCTAAAAAAAAAAAACTTTTTGTTCAACCATGCTCTTGGTCTGTAACAGTTACAGTTTATGACAAGGGGTAATATTCATTGTGTTAAAAATATATTTTGGTTGACACAACCACTGAACAAATAAACCAATGAACACTTATTTTTACTGATGGTCGCACCATGCACTTCGCTAATAATATTCCGTCAGATTTTACATTTTACGTGTCTAAAAAATAAAGCAAATTTAAAATATAAAAAACAACATAAATTTATTTTTTTATTAATTTTCAGTTTAATTCTATAGCTTAAAAGTATTGAACTTATATTGATATTTTAAACGCGTTTAGGGCATAAAAACGAAGACACAAATCAATTTTATATCTTTCTTTTTCAGAAAAAAAATTAAAAGTCGAGGGGGGAAAAACGAGGGGTGACGAATCGAACGAATGAGGCCAGGTCTATAAGGGACGAAGTTCTTTTTTATGTAAAAAAAAATATGTGCTTAATACGACTTAAATGTCCATTTTACATAATTATCGGATAAATTTAGGAAAGACTTGTATCCAGTACATAATGTTTCCATAAAGAAAATACGAATAAAAGAGTGTGTGGATTTTGAGGTTTTTTTTTTTTGGATAGTCATATAGTCATCATGTGGAATGCATAGATCATTGCTTTAGTAAAAAAAAAAAAGAAAAAAAATAAAAGATTAGTATGTGATCATAAAATAATTTTGAGGTTTGTCCAAGAGAAATAACTTTTTGATCAACTTCTAATTTGTTTAATTTGTTAAATTCAGTTGAAAGAACTGACGCAGATCAAAATTTGTAAGAATGAAAAAGTTTTTTATTATCTACATACCTCATTTTTATGACATAATAATATAATGATTTTATAAATATAATTTAGTGTGGAGTGTTGCGAGAATAAAACCCAGAATCTTTGGAATCTTAGACACCGATCGAAGGAAAATTGCTCATGTGAAATAATTAGCGAACTTGGAAAAAAAAATTTTTCGAATTGGACATGGACTACAATTTGTATAAAATTTTGCATTATAAGAAAAAATTTTTCGCTCAAACAAAATAGGTAAAAACTTTAAGTCACACTACATATCTAATTTAGGTACATAAAATTAAAAAATTTTAATTTTACCGCTCCAACTTATGCGACAATTAATTAAATTTATTATCTAATAAAATATATAATATATAACATATTATTACGTAAACATCGTTGTTTTTAGTTAATATTGTTTTTTATTACGCTGCTTAAACTTTTGATGACATTACGATTAGTCATGTATTCTTAAATTTTCCTTTGCATATGGCGTCATGCTAAAACCCTCCATTATCTACACCAGTCGCATTATTACCACGGTCACCATTTATCCAATTAAGTTCTTCCTTTTGCATAAAATCTTTATTTTGAATGGGCCTTATTAATGATCATTTGGCCGATCTCACATACCTGCTTTTCATATTCGAAAAAGGGGTAGAAAATTATTTGCCGACAAAAGCCACGCGCCCGAGATAATTGGTTATTCTTTGATCATCTAGGGATTAAATTCCTTTTTTTGACAGTCCGATTATTTTTGATTTCGTTAATAACCTCTAATTATTGAAATATAAATGAAATAATGAAATTTCTTTCAAAAGAAAATAATTTTGATTCATGCAACCTGTACAGTTTTATTTGGTCAATCTCTTCTCATGAAAAATGACATGTTTTTATTTAGGGCGTTTGATCTACTTTCACAACATCCATATTTTGCACACATCTATATGCTTGATCATAATAATACGCAATATAATATGTGCATCTATACTCAAAAAAAAATATGCATGAACTCCATGTTCTCTCTTAAGCTACATAGTATATAAAAAATAAATTATTAATAAATTAATAATTTCTTATTATGTTTTCGGTTTATATTAAGAAGGATTGGTTGATTATAAAAAAAGGAAATTATTTTTTCTCGATATAAAAAATCTTTTTGTTCAGAAGAAATTTACACATGATTATTTGATTCACATGTGCTTTTCTCAATTTCTTTATAGTAAAAAGAATAGATGACAGTTTTGACATGCATTAAGTAGTGTAATGAATTAATATTAATGTTTTGCGTCAATAGAATGATGAAAAAAAAATAAGAACCCGTATTAAGTAAAATTTGTCATCAATAAGTAAACAAACCTTTAATATATTCTTTTCAAAAATATTTTGCATGGTTTCCTTAAAAGTAGTTATTTATTAATTATTAAACTACAAAAAAAAAAAAACAAGAAAAGTAATATAAAATGAAATTTATACATGATAAAACAATTTTATTTGCAGAAAATATATTTTCACTAAAAACGTTTTATTTAAAGAAAATATTATATATTACTTCTAATATCTAATATAACGGAAGTTTTTTCTTACGAGTTCCTAAGTATATGAAAAAATGCATATATATCATGCATGAGAATATTAAAAATTGTGTTAAAAATATATGAAAGTTATTTGTATCATAAATTAAATAAAAAATGTTAATATTGAAAAATTTCAATCAAACATTTTATTTAAATAAATATTTATAAATATTACATCTTTCCCTGGCTTAAAATAATATTTATCCATTTGAAATATATTGTTTTGAACCAAAACCAGATATTTAAATTTTGTATATTATCTTTAAAATTCCTAAGGATTTTAAAAAATATATTTATAAAGCAAAAATAAAATAAAAATAAAATAAAAAAATATGAATATTAAATATTAATAAATAAAATTATTTATAAAAAGAATATTTAAAAGAAACTTTAATATAATAATATTTAGAAAATAACAAGCACATAAATAATATCTAGGTCAAAGGTATAAAGTATAAAAAGTGTATAGAGATATTATATTATTTATAAAAAAGAATAAGATAGTCTTATGAGACAGAGAATGATGGATAGCTGATCTTCTCCTTCCGGACAAATTAATCTCTATTCTTAAACGGTAAGCAATTCCGGGCAAATTTGCCCGCAATTTTTTCCTTACATGTAAATTATAGCTGATGAAAGGTATCGTTTTTTGATAGACTTTTTTAAGTAACGTGATGCAATTAATATACATTGACACGTGATTTATATAATAGCAAAAATCATGTGAACATCGAGTAATATAAATTATCATGTGACAAAATAGTTATCTTTTTGATGCATCTATAAATAAATAATTAAAGGAGTATCAAAAAAAACACTATTTTCATGCGTATCTTGATATATTAAAAAAATAACCATAAGTCTATCAAAAATGAAACTTTTGCAAGCATAGGTATATCAAAAAATAACCATGAATCTATTAAAAACGATACTTTTGTATAGCTGATCATTAATAGCACGTGATGAAACTTGAATTATAAGAGAACTCTTATCATATACCCCCGGTATATAAATTTTATCCTGTTCATAAAGGTACAGACTCTTATCCTATATCCTTTTCAAATTTAATTAGTTCATAATTTAACAGGTGATAAAGATTTCATGTGTTTAATTCATATAACATAACAAATATACAGTAGAATAAAAATATGGTTTCCATATGTAAAAAAATTTCAAGTCCTTAAGATATTTAATAAAATTCAATATTTGAAAAATGTAATACAAGGTAATAAATAACTTACCTTTGATAAATTCTAACTTAAAACTTCCTATAGGTCAAGTCCAGTCTAGTTTTATAGGACCTGAATTAGATTTTAAAAATTTAAGCTTAACTCAAACCTGACCTAAATTTAAAAATTAAGTTTAAGCTTATTAGACTTGACCTAACTCAAGTTCAACTCAAGTTTACAAGTTTAACTTAAGCCTATGAGTTTAACTCAGATTTGTAAGTTTGACTCAGACATGTGAACTTAATTCAAGCCTGTAAATTCAGATAAACTCAACTTATTTATAAAGTTTAATTCAGACTTGTAGGTTTATAAGTTTATACTTTTATTTCAAATTAATTTTATATAATATAGAATGATTTTTTATTATAATATTATTATAATAATTTGAAATTTCATCTTTTAGGCTTTGTAATCACAATTAAATAATCCTTCTATTATTGATATTTGTCAAGTTATTATTGTCTAAAGACAATAAATTAATTTTTTATTTCAAATTAGTTTTATATAATTAAAAGTAATTTTCTATTATAATATTTTTATAACAATTAGAAATTTATCAGTTATTATTATTTGTAGACAATTTTATTAAAATAAATATAAATTTATAATACAATATTTTAATAAAATTATTTATAAATAATTATAACTTAATGAATATTGATATTAAAATATGATCTTTTTATATTTAAAAATCTGAAATAGTAGTTTTTCAATTGTTATATCATGGTAAAAAATTATTTCTTGTTACATTTGAAGTAAAAAATTAATTCATTGTCTTTAGACAATAATAACTTAATGAATACTGATAATAGAAGAATTATTTACTACAATTACAAAATCTAAAAAATGGATTTTTAAATTGTTATAGTAATATTATAATAAAAAATTATTCTATATTATATAGAATTAATCTAAAATAAAAGTATAAACTTATAAATTTACAAGTTTGAATTAAACTTTATAAATAAGTTAAACTTATCTAGACTTATGGACAGCCATTTGGGGTTTATATAAATCTCAAATGGCTTAAACTAGACTACTATAGTCTCAGGTATGATGTGCATTTTATACGTGTTGCCCAAATCCCAAATCATTTGGGATTTGGGACGCCAAAATCCCAAATTACTAGTATTTGGGATT